CTGCCGGATCTCCAGGACTGAGAGAGAGAACACCCAGTGGTTCCAGGCAAAGGCTTCACAGAGATCCCACGACAACCAGCTCCCTCACACAGGAGGAAACAGCAATTTTTTTAATTGACCTGCAGATACTGAATAGAATCTTTTAAAACTCAACATTTTTAATACTGATGAAGCTCTCTCCCTACGTTTCTAAGTGTTACCATGTGATCAGGTAGCCACAGGAGCCTGTCATGTACCCACACATGCTGCCTCAGTACCCCTGCGGAGGTGGGGATGGGCAGTAGTAACTGGTGGATGTCTGGCCACTGTCCCCTGCCTCCCTTCCTGCCCTCTACAACCCCAAGGGCCTGCTAGTGACACCCAGAGCGTGCTGGCTAGAAGGTGCCAGAGGGACTTAAACCAGCAGCTGCCAGAACTGGGCAAGCCCAAGAGCAGGTCTGGAACCCAGTCTGGAGGACAAGTGACCACAGATAAGGGTGGATACACCCAGGGAAGCAGAGGTGACACTGCATTATGATTAAGGGTCCGTAAATGTTCAAACCCTACCTCTGCCACTTGGACAAGCAGCTTAACACCTCTGGGCTCAGCCCCCACTGCCCCCGCCAGACAGCGGCTGTGAAGACTCAGCTGGTATAAACTGGACACAGGCCCTGAGCACCAGTAAACCACCACAGCTCTGGGTCCAGCCACAGGGCTGATGCTGCCGTGGGGGCCTTGCACCTTCACAGGGACCACGACACCATCCAGAGCTGCTCACGCTGGAGCACCACGCTGTGCCTGGCACTGAGCTAAGCCCTAGAATTCAACAAAGCTTGATTCTTATCCAGGGCAAGGAGTGCTTGCCAGTTATTGATGGGGGGGCTCCTCCAACTCCCAGAAGTTGTATGAGAAATGGCACGTTTGTGCTTATACACATGCTTGTGAAGAGAATTTTATTGGATTGTCCAAATGCTCTGTGGCTCTGTGTGGCTAAGAACCACTGATCCAAGGGTCTGCAATCAAGAAAAGAGCAGACATGGGACAAGTGAAGGGGCCGATGGTGCAGATGACTGAGGGCGGGGCTCAGACTGGCCCTTAGCAGCTACTCTCCTCCACCCTGGCAGGGATGTATCACCTCCCCATCACTGGTGCCCGGCAGGACAAAACACTTGCACGGCAGGTAGGCAGGCACCATCAGGCCTCAGACCTGCGTGTGGCAAGTCCCAGAGCGGCTATGTGGGAGGCGCAGGAGCTGGCCTAGGAGGCCAGGAAGAGCGAAGACCTCACCCTGGGGAAGCACACTTGGGCACAAACTCACCTCACCAGTCTTGGTATCTTGAACTCCTGCTGCTTGCAGCTGTTGGGGCTGGCAGAGGATGCTCAGCTAAAGTCAACAGCAAAAGCAAACAGCCCAATTCAAAAGTAGGCAAAGGACTTGAATAGACCTTCTCCAAAGGACACAAATGGCCGGCAAGCACGAGATGATGCCCAGCACACCACTGCCATCGGGGAGGCAAATCAAGACCACAGTGAGATGCCACCTGACACCGTGAGGATGGCTGTGACCTTAAGCGGAAAAGCCGAGTGCCGGCAGGGGTGTGGAGAAACCAGAGGCCTGGTGCCCTGCGGGCGGTAGCAGTGATGGCTCCAGCAGTTAGGCAGAGTGTTTGCACCTGGTGCAGCGGTTTCACAGAGGCACACTCCCGGGGACTGCAGCTCACCAGTGCTCACTGCAGCACTGCTCACAGCAGCCTGACACGGGAACACCCCAGGTCCAGATGAAAATGCACATGGATACACTGGAGGCGATTCAGCCATAAAAAGCACGGAGTCCTGACACACGCTACGGCATGGAAGAGCCTTGGTGACATGATATTCGTTCAAACAGCCAGACCCGGAAGGACAACTATTTTATGATTCCATCTATGCAAGGAATATAGTCAAATTTACAGAGACAGAAACATACTGGGTACTGGGGACACCAGGGGCTGGAAGGAAGGCCCTTGGGGAATGAGGAGCTATTGTTTAATGGGGACAGAATTTCTGTTTGGAATGGCAAAATGTTCCAGAACTAAATCGGGACAATGGTTACACAACACTGAATGTATTTAATGCCACTAAGGTCTACACTTAAAATGGTTAAAATGGTTAGTATGTATTTACCACTTATGTTTATGTGGTAAATTTTACAGTATTTTTAAAAACTGAAGAATCACAACTACAAGGACACTAACAGTCTTCATTTTGTGACACACACACACACACACTCTAAGGACTCCTTAGTCTACATCTGGACACAAATTTACATATGCAAATTCTCAGAGCAGAAGGGCGCCTGTGTGCCTTACAGGAGAGTCCCTGGGAAGAAGAGGGGGGCCGGTTATCACTCGCCTTCCCCCACCCCCACACCCCATCCAGCCTGGACTGAAAAGTGTGCAGAGACATTTTAATGAGTTTGTTCACTCCACCTTCTGAGCCTGCACACTCCCTAAAGGATGCTGGGCCTTACATTATATTAGGGTCTATCCCTGAGTCCCTGCACCAGTAAGAAAAGTCCCTCTGAGGTGACCTAAACATCTACATCATGCAAGAAAACAGAGCGACCTTCAACTTCAGGACTCCTTGGGAAATTAAGTCTACAAAAGTATTTACCAAGCTTTTCCATTATATTAACATCAGGGCAATATAGCAATGGCATGTCTGGAAGAACTGATGTAATGAGCACATTAACAACTTTTTAAAAATCTCTCCTTACCCATAGTCTGGCATCCAGCCTTGGACTGGTTTTCCTCAAGTACCAGGCTTGTGATGCTGTGCTCAGTACTCTAAATGATCTTTAAGTCCTCATGAGTAAGTGAAAGACATGAGGCTACATAAATATCTGGGATGAGAACTCCCTATAACATCAGGCTTATCCCAGTTCAGGTCATGAATAGACACAGGTGTAAAAACCCACCCACAAAGGCTGCACTGCTCCACATCTCAACAAGGATCTGCTACTCTGGGGCCGCACGGAAAACAGGTCTCACTGGCCTATGGCAAGATGCCTGCTGGGACTGCCTGCAAGCGGTCAGGTGGGAGTGACGCCTGGCTGTTGGCCTGGCAGGTTTCATGCTTTTTACATACGAACTGACAGCACCAAGGGGAAAGTAAGTTCCTTAACTTAATAAATAAAAAAGGAATTCTTTAAAAATTAAATATTGAAAATATATGTACCATTTTACTGCTTTTGCTTCTGCTTTTAAAATTCACAAGGGACCTCAAACACTGCCAAGTACATGTTTTTATGCATACTTGTAAAACGGAATTTTCTTTAGATTTCTATATGCAAAAAATTAAAGAATGCATGTTCTTCCCTTGACTCTCACATGAAGAACAGAAATATTAGGAAGGCCGGTCATGCCTTAGAATTGGCCTTATATACTTTCAGATCAAAACATGTACTTGTCATGTCTTTCTTCCTGAAGTTTTCCTAAGAACTCCCTGCTATCCTTAGACTTCAAAATTAGAAAAAAATGCATCCTCCTTAATCACGTCCATCAACTAATTAGTAAACTACGCGGCACTCACAGGTTCAGCCGTCCGTTGCTCACTATACTCCCCTTCCTCATCTGTGGCGGGAGAAAGACCCTGCATTCCGAGAGCAGCAAAACACATACACTAGTTTATCTCCTGTTACCTTACCAAACAAGTAACCAAAAGGAAAATGATACCATGCTAGAAAAAGTACAAAACCAAAACATTCTCAATTTTATTTGCCAGTAGTCAGGACCTACAGAACCACACAGCACAGATGGACCAATTCCTGCCTCCATGAATTTTAAACTGCCTTTTACAACACTTCTCTGGCTCTGAAGCTGGTAGTGTTCCACAATATGTCGGCTTGTGAAATTCAGCAGCTGGGCCTTTCTCCAAGCTCCTTTATCCAACCTCAGCCATAGATTGTACATTGCCTATAAAAATCTACTTACAAGAAGAATGCAGTTGTTCTAAAATGCCACACACAGCAGAAACAGCGCTTAAATGTCAATAAAACCGCCACAGGAAGGAGACGCCTGCATCAGCTTTTGCTGCTACAGGACACCCAGAGCCCTAGGCCTGCGACGTCACGCAGAAGGGAGCAGCACCAGAGCAGAGAGCGATGTCTCCCTAACGTGATGCTGAGGCCCAGTTTGGAGGGACCCTCCACTCTCATATGTGGGGTCTGTGAGAAGTGACGTGCATCTGCCAGGGGCCACAGTGCGGCTGCAAAGGATGTTCATGGAGAGGGGCCCTTGCACCCATGTCCATCACTGAAAGAACTTCAGCAAACTGCAGGCGCTGGGATCTGCGAGGCCCTTTCCGTGGTATCTGTTACACGAAAGACTGGACATCTGAGTTTACAGCCAAACGGCCCAGAACAGTATAAGGACATACTAACCAAGTACATGTGTTGTAATATATAACTTCCTGATGCCAAGTTTATATGCTTCAAAATATAATCATTGTAGCCATCAATGACTCTTCTTTCTTTATTCAAAAATAAAAGAGGCACAAAAATATAGAACTAAAATGTCCAATGTCATCTGAAATAGTGGTTCACCAAAAGGTTTAAAGGTAAACTTGCATTTTGGAGGTAATTATAATTACTAAAGAGAGAATGAATTGTTTTTCAAAGAAATGCATCTCAGGAAAATGCTGAGCAAGGGGTAGGCAGTTATTTAATCCCCAATTTTTATGAGAAAACCCACAGGTCTCAAAAAGTCTACTGAGCCAAAGGAACCCAGGAAGGCCCTCCCCCAGGGTCAGCTAACATGGGCCAGTCTGGAAGGATGGATTCTTTCTCAGGCTCCCCTCTGGCAAGATAAACCACCCACCAACCAGCACTCTCTCTTCCAGAAGGAAGTTCTGTAGATACATGTCAATTCATGCCCATCTCTAGTCAACCCTTCTGCTCCCCACGACACACAGCACACGGTAATGGGCTCGCAGTACAAAGTGGAGATCTGGGGAAGGGGCAGGGGCACGCGGAGTGCCCCTACCTGTCACGCTCCAGAGCACGGAGGTCTTCTAGCAGCTCCCGGGCCACAGTCTGCAGGTGGGGGTTGCGGCTCTTGGACATGGCCAGGATGCGCTGCAGTGGCAGGGAGCTCCGGAACTCAGAGGCCAACTTGGAGAAGACTTCCGGTTCCTGAACCACAGACTGGACGAGTCGCAATACGTGAAGACACACCTCTGCATCTGGATCTAGGGTGAAAGCAGTGATGTTTCCGGTTAGAATACAACCTTCTATAGGAATCCTGGGATAGAAACAAGCATTCCTGACCTTTCCAAATGACAGATTCGACAGTTTAGAAAAATAGGAGCTGACTCAGAAACAGTGTCATTGCTTGATGTAAATGCTTAGCAAATGAGCAGCATGAGAGAGCTCATCTATTTAGTAACCTCTTGTCTTCAAGTATTACAATCATTTAATTTTAAAAGGCTGAATTCAAAATATGAGGGTTTTTCATGTTTGCTATCATTCTGTCTATTTATAAGATGGTTTTCAAAGGCATTTCTTCATTTTCACTGTGAAGTAGCAAACCCTTCAGAAGCCACATGCAGCTTTGACATCTGTTCAGGTCCGCTGAGTTCCACAAAGTCACAGCTTGCGACACTCACACTGTATCCCACTGTCTCCACATGAACATGCCTGGAGTTAGAACCCGGCAGCCCTGCATGTATTGTAGCAGCCAGTACAGAACAGTTAGGCGGAAACAGCCTGACACAAAGCAACAACCCCCAGCCAGGAGAGGTCCAATTCCCCTCACCACTCCTCCCTACTGGGAACCTCTCACACGCCATCAACTCATGTCTTGATTGGGTATTGTAATTGGAACCAGGCTAAGTCCTAGCACTACATGTGAAGACACTTTTAGGAAGTAAGAGGATGAAGGAGCGAACCGATCAAGGATGAAGGAGGGGACGGCCACAGCCCACCCAGAGGCCTCCTCTGCTGCGTGAGAGCAGCCCAGGGCATCCTGAAGACTGCTGTGCAGGGGAAGGACACCAGAAAACCTGCTCTACCTGGGGAGGGCTGGGTGTCCTGGCCCAGCCCAGGGGAGTCTCCCTACTTTGGAGAAAGGGAGGGAAACTTTACCTAGGATGAGATCTGCTGAAGATGCAGGCAGCCATGGCTGCCACAGCAGGGGGACGGGGACACTGGGGAGGCCCCACCGCCCAGACGCAGACAGACAGGAGCTCCACGCTCCCCAGCAGCGAAGCAAACACCCAGGAGCCTGTGAGAGCAGTAGACCTCTGCAAAGGGGCTAAAGGATGGAAGGAGACCCCTTGGAGACCAACAGCTATGAGTAGAGCAAGACACTAAGGAAGTGACTCCAGCAACGTAGCCCTCACCACAGCACAAGGCAGGGAGAGGAGTACAAAGCCAGCTGTGCACAGAAGGCGACCACAGCAACACCGCGACCTGCCTCGGCCCCAAACCGACAGCGTGGCGGCACGGGGGTGGACGGGGGGTGGGGGGGGCAGCCTTCTCCAGGGGCACTACTTACCTCATTCTCTACTGCAGAGTTCAGAGAAAAGTGGCTCAAAGGCCACATGCAGCCCATGACTTGCTTCTGAACAGCCTATGAGCTTACAGTGGCCTTTATGTTTAAAAAGGTTACTTAAAAAGAAAAATAACAGAAGGATAATATGCAACAGAAACTATACATGGCCCTCAAAGCTCAAAATATTTACTACCTAGCCCATTTCAGGAAAAGTTTGCTGACCCCTGTTCTACTACCCTACACACAATGTCCAACACTGGATCAGAAATTACAATGGCAAAGCAAGGGAAACAAAAAGCACCCCGCAAAGTGACAAAGTAATCAGCAGGGCCAGACTAAGAGATGACCCAAAACAGGAACAATTGAAAAGGAATTTGAAATAAATATGATTAACATATGGGAAAACGCTGTTTTCAGGATCTTGCAGTATATCTGAAGAAGTATGTTTTTTAATTAAAACTCTTTGTGATTAAAGATTGTATTATAAATCCTAGAGCAAATATTAAAAAGTTTTTAAAGTATAAACAATAAACCAACAGTGCAGATAATATAGAATATGAAAATTGTAAGAATGGGAATAGGTTAGCATAAGAGTAGCCATCTTAGGGGCCTACAAGCCATTTTATTTAGAAAGAAAACCCTGGGCCTGGGTAAGGCCTTGAAAAACAAGTTAATCATGAGCACTGGGTGGTGGGCAGCTGTGACCCTTGGTCAGCTAACCTTGGTCAGTTAACCTTACATACCAAGCTTATCGTGCAGAACCTCCCTGACAATTAAGGAGTAGTCTTATCCTGCCCTTGCTTAACCCCAGGATGTATGTCTTGCAAGAATAATGTGTAGCTGTGGAAAATTACTATGAGTAAAGTGCTTTGAAAATGCTATATAAACCCTTGGCTTTGAGTGCTTGGGGTCCTTGTTGAAACCCGCTGTGCCGGGCAGACACTTGGACCCCAGCTAGCTGGAACAATAAACCTCTTGCTTGTTGCATCCATCTGCCGTGGCCTTCGTCTCCTCACTGGGGGGAAGCGCAGACCGGAATAAGGCCGGTAGGTCTTACAAAAATACTCCATCCAACAGCAGATAAAAAAAAGAGGAAGAAAGCGACAATGAGAGATATTTCTGTATTTCTTTGTATATACATTAAATGAAACAGTATAAACACAGTGATTAAGAGAATTCCTAAAACAAGACCCAACTATACATTGTCTCCAAGACACCCAAAGATAGATATAAAAAAATATGCCATTATCAGACAAAGTATCAGAATAAGAAATATTCCAGGGTAAGGAAGGACATTGCATAATTATAAAGAAGTCAATGCATAAAGACATAACAGTCTTATGTATGTACCTAACAACAGAGTTTCAAAAGAAACAAAGCACTCTAAGGGCAAATAAATTCACAGTCGGAGTTGGAAACTTTAACACTCTTACTTCCATTATTGATTTTTAAAAAGGAAGAAAGAAAATCAGTAAGGTTATAGAATCCCTGAACAACAGCCAATTTGACCTAACTGACATGTAGAAGAATTTGAAATATACATTCTGTGATCACAGGGATTAAATTCAAAATCACAGAAATATATAGTAAGTAACAGAAGATAACAAAGACAAAAAACAAGAAAATCTGAAAAATCCTCAAATATATGGAAATAAAGCAACATACTTTTAAATTTGTGGATGCAGTTAAATCAGTGATTTTAAGGGGTAATTATAGCATTAAATGTTCATATTGGAAAGAACAAAGGTCTCAAATTAGTTATCTTAGCTTTCATCTTAAAAAAAAGAAAAAAGAAAAGCAGCAAATCAAACCCAAAACATGCAAAAGAAAAATGGTAACAAAGAGCAGAAATCAATACAAATGAGAACAAACAAAAAAAATTAGGAAGGCCACCAATAAAATCAAAAGCTGTTCCTCTTTAAAAAATGTATAAAATTGATAAAACACTAGCCAAACTAAATAAGGAAAAGAGTTGGGTGGGAGGGGGAAAGAAATACAGAGGCAAATCATAAATACCAGGAATGAAAAAGGAGATACCACCACAGATCCTCCATATATTGAAGGAATAGTAAGGGAATATTATGAACAACTGTGTTCCCATAAATTTTACACCTTGGATGGAATGGACAAATTCCTTGGAAGAAATAAAATACCAAGATTCACTAAGAGAAAAGATAGGTAACCTGAAAATTCTTTATCTACTAAAGAAATTAAGTTTGTAGTTTAAAATTTTCCAACAACGAAAAACCCCAGGCCCAGACGGCTTTGTTGGCAATCCATTAAACATTTAAAGAAAAAATAGTGGTGATTCTACACAAGCCTTTCAAAAAACAGAAAGGAGGGACCAAGTCTCGACTTTTATTTACTAGTCTAGAATTACCCTGATCCCAAACTAGACAAAGATATTTCATAAACAATAGATACATATTCTAGGAAGGCAGGGTTGGTTCAACATTTGTAAACCAATCAATGTCATTTACAATGACAATGGACTAAAGAAGCAAAACCAAATGATCATCTCAACAGATGCAGAAAAAGCCTCTGACAAAATTCTATACCCACCCATAATAAAAACTCTCATCCAACTAGGAATAGAAAGGAACACCCTGAACTTGATAAAGGGCATCTACAAAAAACATTGTCTTAATGGGAGAACACTGAATGCCTCTCACCTAAGATCGGGTACAAGGCAAAGTGGTCCATCTTCACACTCCTTTTCAAAACTATACTGGAGATCCTACCTTGTGCAGCAAGGCAAGAAAAAGAAATGAAAGGTGTATAGACTAGAAAGAAAGAAACTAAACTATTTGCAGACATAGTTGTCTGTATAGAAAATCCCCAAAAATATACAAAAAAAGCTACTAGAACTAGTTGGGCTTAGCAAGGTCACAGAAATTGAAGTCAGCATAAAAAAACAATTGTATTCATGTATCTGTGGGTAAAATTGCAACATTTCCAGAATATCTCACCTGGCTTTGGTACATCTACATATCAATAGGCATTCAGAGGTAGAAAGAAGTACGGCTTTAGTGAATTTGCATCATTCCTCAGGGGTGGAGAGAAGTTCATCTCCGTATCAATGGGTAATTACCTGGGCAAGGAGGGCGTATCTGTACCTGAGAGGTGAGGGAGAGGGCCGGTTTTGCTGCTATTGGCGCAAAAGAGAGAGATGGGCCGGACTGCAGTTTTGTAAGCAATCAACGGGTTTTAAACTTTATTTCTCCCTTTGACTGATTTCGGTTTTTAGAGGTATTTTGCCCTGGGATATCCTCTCCTTGGACTTACAATCAGTAACAATAAATTGGAAATGGAATTTTAAGAAAGACTATCACACACAAAAACATGAAACACTTGTATAAATCTTACAAAATATGTGCAAAATTTGTACGCTTAAAACCATAAAATACTGATATAAGAAATCAAAGACAACTTAACTAAATGAAGAGAGATATTTATGAATTGGAAGACTCAACATTGTTAATGTTAGGCAGGAAAATAGATATGAGCGGGGTGGAAAGAGAAAAAGGCCAGAAAATCCAGTAAAAAAGACCCAAAATTAATAGATTAAAGCTCAAAAAGCCAAGGGCAACTTAGCCTGGAATGTTTGAATATTTCTCAGATAAAGGAAGGTCCCTCAGCACAGCCCATGTCTTTACTGTGTCAATCACACAGGCCCAGCTCACTTCCTTTACCTTT